GTGCGGGGGCAGCGTCTCCTCCACCCACGGGGCTGTGGCAGGCCCGCAACCGCGCTCTCGCCGCCCCACGCGCGTCTGAAGCAGGGCGGCACGGGAGCAGCGACGTGCTTGGTAATGGACGTCTGAGATGCTCGGTGTGCTTCAGCTGCACGTGGAGGGGGAAAACTATGGCACGTGCCCCAAAGCAAGCTGGGTTAAAGAGGATGGCCCCAGTAATTCAGAAATCCCAGCTGTGTAGCATGCAGTTGGATATGCACGTGTACCTACAACTGACCTGGAAACTTTATTTTTCAATACAGGAGTAAGAACAAACAGCGCCCCCCCAACAACAACAACAACCAGCAACAAAAAAACCCCCAAGACCAAACCTAAAAGCCAGTGATTGGAGAACCAGCATGAAAAGGGCACATTGGTTTGATACGGATTTCAATTCAGTGGACACATCTCTGCTCTTTCTACAAACTGCTGCAGTGCCAAAACGTTTAACCCATGACACCCTTAAAAAAGGGCAAATAGCACAGGTCCTCAGGCACAGGAGCTGCTTGCAGCTGCAGGTTTTCTTGCCTGCCTTCTCAGGACGCCCTTGCATCTGATGGTTTGTCTGATGATTGCAATCCACACTGTTCCCGTGACTACAAACGTTAGCCCGATAGAAAGACATACAGGCCCAAGAGCATATGGGACTTCATGCTTAGTGAAGTGCAGTGCAGCAAGGACAACACCACTGAAGAAGACAAGTCCTCCGCTAACAACCAGCGTAACAGGTTTGCTGTAATAAACCCATGGACTCTCTTCTCTGACTACAGTGCTGGTGTCCTCATTTCTCATTACTCTCCTTACAAGAGATGGAGAATCAGATGGTGGTGAAGCCACTTCTTGATGGGGAGTGGTTTTATTACTGACATTGGTGACACGTGGAGGTTTCTGAAAGGAAGTTGTATTGCCTAAAAAGGAAAAATGTTAAAAACATGGTCATTCAGCAACAACAGTTTCAGCTGATCTACACTAGATCCAGAACAGTGATATTCAGCCCTTTTGGCAAAATATGCTGCAAGGTGAAGTCCGGAGTATAAGCCAGCCCAACCCCCGAGTCCCCTTTTAAGTCAACACCTATGGTTCTCATGGCAAATGCACTGGCTGCCCATGTCACTTGTGGCGCATGCGTCTCAGGCTGGCCACCACTTATCTAGAAAGATACAAATGGACTTATGGTTAAAAAGTTACAGGACTGGAAGTCCAGATACTCAATTGCCTCCTGCCTCCCCTCCCAGCTATTCCAGTAAGTAAATGGAACAATGTTTATGAGCAGTTTCAAGAGTGGAGGCAGAACTACTGATTCAGAGCCTGCAGAAGTTTTTAACATTATAAGTGCTGCGTCTCCACAAGCCTGCAGTGATAAAAAAAGTGAGCTACATCACCTTAACTTTAACCTGGGATGAAGCATCTGATTACTTGTTTTACTACAAGTTTCCTGTATTGATAAAGCTTCTGCATGGTTCACAGCAACAGCTCCCCCCACCCTTTTGAAAAGGCACTGAGTGAACTCCTTCACACCCTAACTTTCTGGATTTTAAAAGTTTAAGGTAGTTTCACATGCAATACCTAGTAGCTTGGTTGTTCAGTCACATCTTCTATTTAAAAATAAATAAATTAAAAACCAAAACAGACATACTTACTTCTTCCTGATAAAACTGAATATGCAGTAAGTCACATTATGCCAGGTGGCTACCCAAACACCTACATTTAGAGAGTTTCCCTCTAACTGACCGTCATAGCATGCAAGATGAATAATTTCCATGGTCTCCATCCTATTCCACTGGATCAAATGGAAAAGGGAACTAAACCTAGCTTTGGAACTCTGCACTTTCATTAGCTATTAGGAGGAGATCTGAGGACAAAGTGCTAATTTTACTCAATATGAAAGGTTTCAGGTTAAAACAAACATAGTTACAGTACTACAACAGATACTACAGGAGCTGCTGAAATCAAGTTTATTTGGTAGGGAGTGGAAGGGAGGGAACCAAACTAAAATGATAGACTATAACATTTTTCATAAAACAAAAAAGAAAGCCTAGGTCTCAAGATCTAATTATTTTCTGTTGACATAAATATCTACAAAACATGTTTATTTTCATAGTTTGATTTGATAACATTCAGTTAGACCTTTTCCTGGGGGTGAAAAGGAAAGAGATAGAAGGCTATTTTCTCTGAGGCAATACAATCAGGAGATTTTTTGCTCTGGTCCTGCCAGGCAGGTACTGTACATCATGGTCTTTGTAGGTTACTATGTTTTGCTATTTTTCCATGGACAGATAGATACTTGCACAACTGGAAACAACTATTCTTGCAACAGCTCACAGCACTGACAGTTCATTAATCATTATGATGTTAGTACAGCAGCTCCCAATCTGTGGTATGGGTACCACCAGTGGTACACAGACAACTGGTCAGTGGTATGTGTTACCAGATTTATTATAATTACTTTATATGACAGAAATTTGCTGGCGGTACTTCAGGTAGTGGATAAAGGTATTCTCTCTCAACAAGGACTGACCATTACTTTTAATACTGCACTATTGTAGGTAGGCTAACATACGTCTGAGGGTGAACTAATATATTTTTAGATTATGCAAATTGATCCAAGATCCTAAATTATTAAAAGACTATATGCAGAGGGTTAGAAATAAGGTGGATAGTTTCAAAACTTAGTTCAATGAACACAAATCCTTTTGGTACTACTGTAAACTACATCTGACTGGAAGGCTCAACGCATTGTGGGACTACTCGTGGAAGGGTAGCTCCTATAAAATACCACAATGTGGCAACCTCCAAACTAAGGCAAGTATACTATGCCTCAAAACCCACTGCTTTGTGGGCACTCCTTGGTTGGAGAAAGGCTAAGGGACATCACCCCGACAAATGCATCCTCGATGAGGTATTAGAGCTGCTGCTAACTGCCTAATCTGTTGCCCTTTTGCAGAAGCTACAACCATTGAAGCACTGAACATCTGGATTTGGGCTGGCCTTTGGACTCTGTCTCAACGGTCTGAAGGTGGGGAGAGAAGGGAGATCTAGGGCAGCCTCCTCTCCTCCATATTCTTGCCTAGGCATATGCACTGAGGGTCCTGATGTGATGGATGCATAGACCTCTTATGCATATACCATGATCCAGAGGATTGACAGTTGCCAAGTAAGAACTGGGGGAAGGAGGAAATATTACATCTGCCAGAGCCTGTTTCTTAGGGGGTTTTTTTGCCACTTCACAAGCACTTAAAGGTCTTTCAGAGTGCTGCATCTTTCATGCTGTTCATGAAGTCATTCCTTAACCAGAGAAAGAGTCCTGACCTCCATTTCAGGTTTCTTAAGTATCCTTTATTGTATTAGGGTGATGTCTTAACTTCAGACATCAACAACAACTTTAAGTGATATCAGTGGAGCCAGGACTGGACCCCCAATCTTACTTATACTGATTAAATATCTCACGTCACATAAATTCCTTGCATTTTCCATCAGTACTACAACCAGGACCAAAAAATCCCAAAGCCAATATGTGGTTATATTTAACAATTCTTAGGTTTTTGTTGTTGGGGGGGAATGCTTTTTTCAGGGGATGTTTCTATAAAAAACAAAGACGCAAGAACAAAACAACTAAAAACAATGGTTCCATGAGGAAGTCTGAGATCCACAACTGTTAAGTCTGCTTCCCATTTTAAAGATCAGGGAATAGAAGTACAGGATTAAGTTGTTCAAGATCAAAAATTACTTTGCCAACTAATTCCCTGTCGTGGCAGTAGCACAGTATTGGCAATGCATTCATCTCTCCTGGTTTTACCAATGCCATGTTACAGGGTGTTACTGGTATTCCATCTATTGATTCTTGTACCCGTGGGTGAAGGTTTGAACTGGCAATTCCAGGGATTCCTTCAGTTAACAATTGCCTATTAGTTCAAGGGAGTGCTGTGGCGAGGCGATCCTTTCCAGTCCTTTGTTCCAAAATTGTAGGTCCTTTTATTATGAAGGCACTTACTATGCAATGAAGTTTGTTTTTTTCTTGTTTTAAGAAGTGAGCACCAGGTGACTTCCACCAGATGGATTAAAGGACAAATAACCAACCTTTTATGCAAGAGAGATTACAGTTCTGAGGTTTTGACTACATCAGTGAAATAGATATGGAGGTTTGGGTTCATTGTTTTATTTAAAAGATTCAAAGGACTTTGAGTTCTGCACTAACTTGCACTCCTTGCTACTACAAAGAACACTGTGATTAGATGCATTTCCTTTTTGACATTAATTTGTTATCATCATAGTTTTTGACACACGCCTGTCTTCTGCAAGGCTACTGCTAAGAATAGTTGGGTTATTGTCTCAATTTCAATAGACATAAGAGAGAGACAGGGAGGCTGAGACATGTACCAGTATAGAATGAATGTCAATCAGAAAAGAATACAGGATATGTTAGAGAGAGAATAATGAATTACACTGTTTTTAATACATTTTTCAAACAAATAGTAAAGTCT